GTCAGGGTGAGAATCTTTCCAATTAACTGGTAGATTAAAAAATCTTCTGAAGATTCTCAGGATCATTGCCTTGCTCATCTTTTACATATAACTGTATGACTTGACATTGTCATGTTTCCTAGCTTTTCTCCTTTCCCTCTCTTGATTAGTTAGTCCTTGAGATCCTGCTTTCCTAGGCTCTTGTTAAAAGCACCTAAAACAAATGGAATTCCCTAGATTTTTATAGTATAGACTCTTCTGCATTTTTGGCCCCAGGAACTGTTTTGTGAAAGACAGTGTTTCTACTGACAAAGGGATGGGACAGACTGCTCAGGATTGAATTCTCTTATGGAGTATACAACCTAGATCCCTTTCATAGGCAGGTCACAGTTGTGTTTACCCTGTGAGCATCTATTGCCACTGCTGATCCAACAGGAGGCAAAGTAGAGGCAATAATGCAAGTGGTTGGGGGTGGGGACAGCTGTAAAGCAAACCACACTCTGCAATACTTGCTGTACAATTGACCTGTTATGACATTTTCTTCTTAACTAGTGTGATGCCAACTCTGTAATCCCTACTCTATAGTGGCAAACGTAATTTCTTAAATACGATGTTGGCTTCTTTTTAGTGTAGTTATGTGTTAATGCAGTTTTGTTCAGCACAATTACAGCTATTATGCTTCTACTTCTAGTTGTTATAATTGTTTTGTTTTACATTTCACCTTGTTTAGATACTAACATTAAACCTACATAGAAAAACTGAATAAAGTTCTCCAAAATCTTAAAAAGAAATACTTACATAAAGACTCTGAGCCACTGCCATGTGTATACTTGGTATTTTTATGAATACTCTCAATAGCACGAACTGCTGCACCAGCCACTAGAGACTAAAAGCAATAGGATATAGAATTTAAGTTAATGTGCAGCTTTAAAGCAGGACAGGGAGATGTTCTGTAAAACAATTACATTAATTGAATAAAAGTGTGTATGTGAAAAACCTAGAGTTATCCAAAAAGGAAATGAATGCATTAAAAATGTTTTAACTTTATAGCAATCACAAATGGTTGGTTTTAAAAATAAACTCTTCCACACATTGAAACTTTTTGTGTTTTAATTTGTGCCCAAAAAATTCTTGCATGGCTTTTCAGGATCCAGGCTTAGACTTATTTCATTTCTAGACAAAATTATCATCAAGGGGGCCAGGGAGATGGCTCAGTGGAATAAGCGCTTGCCTGGCAAAATTATCATCAAACTTCATATATATATATATATATATATATATATATATATATATATATATCATGCATGGTGCATTTCTCAGTCTTCACAAACTGTATTTTCTTCTTATTTAAAATGTCTAATGACTTCCAAAGACTCACAAATGAGATAATGCTCCCAGTAAGTGATAGGATAATAACTAAGGTTACTAAGCTGGACTACATTTGGTTCTAGCTTATGAAGATCTTTTCTGAAGTTCCCACTTGACCCAGAAATTGAAACTAGCCTCATATTTATCAGTATCTCCCTCTGGAGAAATCCAAAAGAGTGGTATTTTTATCCTTGTATATGATACTGACTTGTATGTGATACTGAGTTGTACCTGTGTCCAAAACCTACATTTTAATGGACCCAATTGCCCATAAAATGAAATACAAATTCCTTCTGGCGTTTAACTCCCTTCACAAGGTGGCTGTGCCTACTTTCTGATGATGTGCCCCCCACTCCTACACTCTCCTAGTCCACTGGGCAAGATTCCTGTGCGTGTTGCCACCTTTTCTACTTAGAAGCTCATCTGTTCCCTCTGAGTACAGAGAACTCTTTCAAAACTGCCTAAAATGGTGTCTGTCCTTGATGTCAACTGTATTTTATTATTCTTGTTTCTTTGCAGTATGTGTTCTCTTATGTAGCAGTTGATACGTTGTGTCAACTTGGCTGAATCTGCTCAGCACAGTTCTGGGCTGTAGAGGGCCTGCCCTGGGGCCAGACTGGGCTGCCCCAGAGTGACTCAGCACAAAAAATGTATATAAAGGAGTTGAAAGAGGCTTCACTGCCTGCTCTGCCCCACTTCCTCGTAGAAGTCCCAGACTTAGCTGCTGCTCCTCCTCTTCTCTTCATTGTTTTCTGCCCCTGACACGAACTGCTGCCATTTGCCTTGGTGCCAGCTGAGTATGGACTGAAACCTCCACAAACTGTGAGCTAAATAAACCTTTCCTTCCTTAATTTTGAGTGCTGGATATTTGTCCCAGCAAGGAGTAAAAAGTAACTAAGACACCTTAATAGACAGTGAACCCCTCAAAAGATGAAGTTACTGCAGCCCCTCATTTATCACAGATGTTCCCTCTGATATAGTTAGAGGCTGCCCATTACCATCCCAGCCACCATTATGATCCACTCCTGGGCTGTGTTGGTTTAGTAAGAGTGTATGTTACTGTACTCTATTTGTGATGCTTGTTCTGGGGATTGAATTCAGGGTCTCGTGCATGCCAGGCAAGCACTCTGTCAATCAAAGCAGCATGTTCCCACACCTGTGTGGATCGTCTTTGAACTTCCTATATCCCATGACATTCTAAAAATACAGAAAATTTTACAAAAAAACAACTCTTGCTTTGGTGAAGTTCTAAAACTCCATCTGCTGAATCCAGTGAATCCTGACCTTGGGGTGATTTCACAGAGTTAGACCACAGCACAAAATATATTTGTCATGCTGAAGAGAAAAGTTTTTTTCCATTGATTTTGTTTCTAGTACTAAGTATTATTTTATTTCTTAAATATAATGAGGAAAATAATTAAGTAGGACTTACCAGTTCCTCATGATCTTTGCTTTTGCTTCTGTTATAAGAATATGGGAATATAATCTGCTGGGAGTATGAATGCATGCTGATATAAGCTTTAATATGGTTAATATTTTTTCTCAAAAAATCTGCCACCGCCTTTACTTCTGGTTCTGATTCAGGATAAGGTCCACAGTAGGTTTCAGAGCATGAGAAACTTGATGCACCTTCCTCTGTAGTGAAATTGATAAAGGAGAATTTTAAGAAAATGTACTATCTGATTTCTGATTTCACTGACACTATATTCTCCTAGGGTCTATGACACAGAATTTTTAGGTGAATGGGTTAGGGAGAGGTCTGAAAAGAGAATAATATTCATGTACAGAAATGTTGCTCATATTTCTTTTGAAACCAAATATTTACATATGTAATATACCACATGCTTGTCTTTCTAGACCTTGTCTCCCTTGCTGCCTAGGGGCAGCTGTTTTGCAACCTTGAGAAAACAATGGAAGTCTCAGAGACGCCAGTTCTTCCAAAGTTTTGGTTAGGTGAGGAAAAGTAAATCACATTTGCTTTTAATCAACTGTAAATTTGTTTTTTCTAATATTTGCAGTTTTAAATTTACTAAGTATATAAACCATAAAAGAGCCTCACTTGGTAACTCAGAATATGCAAGACCACCTCCTATGTTACTTTAACTTGCTAGATGGTTTAGTAAATAAATGAAATAGTGATATTTGGTGCCATGACAATGTTCATTCATTCTTTTGTGAGATCATAGTATACCTCAGCTCTTGCCTCTCAACTCTTTTCCCTTTCTCCCTAACTCACATAAGTAGAGTCCCAGGGAGTCACAATTAAATTAGAGGATTAGTCCCTCTTAGAAACAATTGAAGTTCCAGAATTGCATCTTTAATTTGTGTTCTGCTAATTGGAATCCCTTCAATGATAATTTGAAACTAAGGCTAGAGTCTACTCTCAGTCTAACTACTCCCTTGCATGTAAAAAAGATAATAGCTCTGCTACCAGCAGACACCTACAGAACACTGGATGTATTTCAAGAGCATCACTAATATTTGGGCAATATTTGAGTTGTTCCTCAGAACAACTGTATGAACTACATTGTGTTATTTTCAGATTTGCAAATACCACTGTTGGGGGTAGCCATCCATCACAATAAAAAATTATACAGCATAATGTCAAGTATCAATCACATCACTAGATTCAATTTACCATTTTTAGCTACATGATCTTGGTTTACTTTCTTGAACCTACCCAAACCCCAATTTTCTTATCTGCAAAATGAGAGAAATTATACATTAAATGAGGATTAAAGGGGAATACAATGATCTAATGCATACAAAGTGCTATAAAAAATCCTGGCGTACAATATGTGTTCTATTACTGTTGCTGTCTGTGGTGGTTGATACATTGTGTCAACTTGAGATGTTGGAAGCTTGGCTGGATCATCTTGATGCTCCCCAGCCTGGGCGTGGGAGGACCCCCTAGAGTGACTGAGCACAAAAAGGGTACATAAAGGGGTTAAAGAAAGCTTAAAGAAAGCTTCTGCGCCTCCCCACTTCCTTGGAGGAGCTCGGATCTTCTCGGATCATCTTCGCAGTCAGCATGTAGGAAGTGAGAGAAGCTTGACAGATGTTGCAGCTGCCGCTCCTCTTCTGCTGTTTGTTGTTTTCTGCCACCATGCACTGCTGCCATCTGCCTTCGAGCCAACAGAGTATGGACTGAAACCTCTACTAACTGTGAGCTAAATAACAACCTTTTCTTCCTTCATTTTGAGTGTCAGGTATTTATCCCAGCAATGAGTGAAAACTAACCGAGACACTGTCCATTATCATCATCCCTTCCAGACTTGTCATACCCCAAATTCCATAGGAATACTGAAAATTTGCAAATTAGTTTAATTGAGAAAGTAAAGAGCAGAAGACAGATCTTAAGATAAGGGAATAGCAGAAAAGAATCCAAATTACCTAAAAATAAACTCACTGGGGCCATACCTATAGAATGGGCTAATATCCTTCTTCTAGAATGGGTAGGCCACCTTCTCATGGGGTTTATGCCCCTGTAAGAAAAGTATGTTTCAGGGCCTGTGATATAGCTCAGCAGACTAAGCACCTGCTTAGGCCATTTCAGGGACTGGGGTTCAATCCTTAGTACCACACACCATATGGCCCCCAACCCAAGCCCACTGAGCTGGCCACTAAGACCAGGCATGATAGTGGTGCCTGCCTGGAATCCCAGTGCTGGGGAGGCTGAAAACAGGAGGATCACTATGAGTCTGAGCTGAGTAGTGAGACCCTGTACCAAATACATTTTTAAAAAGGGTACTAGGGAGTGTAAATGATTGCAAAGACACAAGGTTCAGTTTTCAGTATGGCAGAAAGACAGAAAAAAAAGAGAAGATTTAAATATTTCTTATTGTCTTATTTACATTGTACTGAAAAGATGTTTGGGCATATGGTTTAAAAAGAGTTCCTTATAATTATGTCTTGTTTTATTGGATATTCTCTTGGCTATCCATGTTTGCTACTTCTGTTTCCTTTTTAACTCTTGAATGACATAATAGTAAGCAGGAAGTAAGATATTTCTTAATGAGAATAACAGTATATTTTAAGCAACTGACTATTCAAACTACAGAATACTGATTTCAACATGAAAAGTGAATTGAACACCAAAAAGCTTGAAAATAAAAAGCTTTAAAGGGAACTGACAAAAAGTAATTGTCAGGTGCAGGCTTATTCCAATACATTTGGAGTCAACCTGAGTTTATATTCCAGCTCTGCCACTTCTTAGGAATGTGTCTCTGACCATGGGAATTGCTGTGGTTTGTGTTCTCTGAAATACCTGTTGAAATTTAACCCTCATTATGAGACATCAAAGGTGGAGCCACATGGGACATTTAAGATATGATTGGGGTCTGCTCTCAAGAATGAGTTGATCCATTCATGTGATGAATGAGTTAGTGGGTTATCTTGGGGTGGGTGTATACTGAAAGCTAACTTGGCTCCTTTTTCTTCACAGCCCCTCTCGCATTTGTTATTGGTTGACTTCTTAATGTCAGCCATTCTTTCTGGGGTGAGATGGAATCTCAATGTTGTTTTAATTTGTGTTTCTCAATGGACCAAAGATGTTGAACACTTTTTTATGTATTTACTTGTCATTTGTATTTCTTCCTCTGAGAAGCTTATATTCATCTCAGATGCCCATTTTTGTATTGGGTCTTTGAATTTTGGGGCCTGATATTTTAAAAATTCTTTGTATGTTCTAGATAGAAGGCCTCTGTCTGAAGGACGGTCAGCTATAATTTTTCCCCAGTTTGTTGGTTTTATTTTTATTCTGTTGGAGATTTCCTTTGAAGTGCCAAAACTTTTCAAAAAGATGAGACCCCAGTTGATTCTTTGAAGTATGTCCTGTAAGTTTGGTTTTTGTTGATGAACTCTCTACTTTCCCTTATGTCTTTAAGATTTCTACCTACATTGTCCTCCAGAAGATTTGGTGTTTCTGTTTTAATATTTAAATCTTTGATTCATTTTGACTGTAGCTTTGTGTATGGTGATAGGCATGGGTCTAGTTTTATCCTTCAGCATATGGAAAGCCAGTTTTTCCAGCACCATTTATTAAAGAGGCCATCTTTCTTCCAGTGAGCATATTTGGCCCCTTTAGCAAACATAAGGTGGTTGTCTCTTTTACTCTTCTCTCCTTGCTGAGACAAATACTTGACACTCAAAATGAAGGAAGGAATGGTTTATTTAGCTCACAGTTACTGGAGGTTTCAGTTCATAGTTGTCTGGCTCCAAGGTAGAGCAGCACATGGCAGAGGGCAGCAGTTCATGGCGGTGGCAAAGAGCAAGAGCAAATGGGAGGAGTAGTGGCAACAATGGCAGCAAAGAGCAAATTTAGGCTATCCACTTCAGACTGGGTGTAGCTCTCACACCCATAATCCCAGAAGTACTCAGACCCATAATCCCAGCTTTGGATCACCCATAATCCTAGTGGATCATGAGTTAATCACAAGCTCTAGAAGACTGCCTCATGACTGCATGAGGCTTTGGGGGAATACCTAGAGACAAACCATAACAGTGGCTGAGTATGTTTGCAATTGTGTCTGCATCTTCTAATCTGTTCCACTGTTCCTCAAAGTCTGTCTCTATGCCAGTTATGCTGATTTTATCACAGTACCTTTATAGTATAATTTCAGGTCAGGGATTGTGGTACCTCCTGCCTTTCCTTTGTTTCCCAGGATTGCTTTTGATATTCTGCGTTTCTTCTGGTTCCAAATGAATTTGAGAAGTTTTCTCTAGCTCTGTTAGGTATACTAATGGTATTGTAATCAGTACATTAAATCTGTGTTGGTGGGAGTGAAGACTGGTACAACCACTGTGGAAATCAGTGTGGAGATTCCTCCAAAAGCTAGGATTGGAGCTCCCATTCAAGCCAGCTATTCCTCTCCTGGTTATTTTTCAAAAAGAACTGAAAACCTCATACCACAATGATATATGTGCACCTGTGTTTATAACAGTGCAATTTGTCGTAGCTACATCCTGGAAGCAACCTAAATGCCCATTAACTGATGAATGAATAAAATATGTGGTATTTTTTTCACAATGGAGTATTATTATTCAGCTATAAAACATGACAAACTTGAGTCTTTTGTTGGTAAATGGATGCAACTAAAGAACATACTCTTAAATGAAGTGAATCAGACCACATGTGCAAACATCGTATTGTCTCCTTAGTGTGAGAACCTGAAATAGAAAAATGGAATCTGAGGGGTACAACAGACACTAGGAAAAGGGAATGAACTTATTCAAAATGAAAGAGTTACTGAAGGAGAAGGATAGGAGAGGGAGCGAGGGAAAGAGATTTATCTGTTTCTAGGCAGGATGGTTTGGATAACTGTACTGTGAATTTCTGCTGGTCTATGGAAAGGAACAGTTAACACTTAATTTGTTTTGTCTCCTTTTTTCAATTGTGTGTACTTTTTCTCTTACTAATTTCTTATACATTTTTTATTTCTCAATTTTACACACATATATCTGGTAATATGAATAACTGGTTGGAAGACAACACTACATATTACAACACATACTGTGAAATTTGTATTACTTTGTTAAGTGAAATTCTGTATCTCTTGTAATTTTTTCTGTTTTAATTCTAATTTGTACTCTCTTTACAAATTAAAAATAGCCTGCTTGGGCAGACGCAGAGGCCTGGGTTCAATCCCCGGCATGCCAGTGCCAGCCCTACCCCTGGGGTGTGCTGAGACTGCAATTGAAACTGGGTGTGGTGGGGCATGCCTGTAATCCCAGCTCTTGGGAGGCTAAACACAGGTGGATCACTATGAGTCCGATTTACATAATGAGACTCTGTAGACCCTTTTGAACTTGTACTAAAATACAAAATAATAATATAATAATAATAATAATTAATAAACAGCTAACTTGGTTAGCTCTGAATCTTGCCATGGGATGCACTGTGCTGCCCCTGGACTTTGACAGCAAGAGGACTTTGCCAGATGTGGCCCCTCATCCTCAAACTTGCACTATCAATCAAAATGAACCTCTTTTCTGGGTAGCTTACTCAAACTGTAGTGTTCTGTTATTGGCAACATAGAAATTGTCAGGCTTTACTCAGGCATGACTTTCTCAGAAATCTATCTTTGTAATATGTAGACAGTAAAATGTAGTATAACTGGCAGGATAAAATAGAACTTTAAAAATTATAATTGTTTCTTTAGTGACAAGGTGCTTCTCCAAATTTTCTCAGGCAAGGGCAGAACCAGGACCCCTTCTGCTCAGTGCACAGAAATGGACAAAATATGTGGCTGCTGGCAGCAGATCAGGGTCAAGTTTCTTTTCCACAGGCAAGATAAGAAGCAGAGATAGCCAGGAGGCATCAAGCAAGTTGGAGTTGTCTTGTCTCATTTTACTCTCTCTCCCTCCTTTCCTCACTATGAAAGACACATATCTGGACAAAGTAAGATGTGATTTATGGCAATGTGAGGCTCCTGCATTGCCTGGGAGCCTTTCTCTGTGCCTCCTGTGGTTTGTTCCAGAGCAGCAAGCAAAGGGCTTACAGACCCAAGCAGCCTGTCACACTGGAGATGAAGCATGCACACACTGCCCTGCCCTGAGTAGATCTTGGCACAGTACTGTTTACCTATTTATCTGGCTTGTTTTTCACAGCAGCAGCTGTTTCCCTGAGTCACTGGCCAGGCAGCAGTGCTGCAGCAGCCTCCAAGCCTCTGTGAGCACCTGGGTAGCACTCTGCAGAGCGGCCCTGAGGGGAGCCGTTGAGTGATTCCCCTAGACCATTGGTGCTGAACCTACGGTATACACTCCGCAGTGGGCACACAGAGCCCTCTCTGTTGGCAAGTCAGCCCAGCAGCTGAGCACTGGATATTCAGGTTTAATTGCAGGGTTAACACTTTGCAATAAATAAATAAATAAGTCAGTTTTGTAGTGAAGGTTTGGGTGTTCAGTCTCTAAAAGTTTCACCATCACTGCCTCAGACCTAAATCAGGATTAACTGCTCCATCCTCTGGTTTCCAACTGCATCATCCCAGAGCAATGAAACTCATTCCCAGGTTCATTTCACCAACATTTGCTGAGAACCCTCCCAGCACTGACTAACGGACTAGGTGGCGGCTCCTTCCTTCATGGAGTTCTAATTGGAAGTGGAAAGGAAATAAAGACATGAAAAGTAATTTGTCTTGTTTGCTGGAGTAATGATGAAATGTTTAGAGTTACAAATCTTCTTTTAAAGGACATATGTAAGATCACATGTGAGGTTAAATGTATGTAAAGTACAGGCTATCTCTGTGGGTACAATATCTTCTTACCCTGGTTCCCACAGGGCCACCTATGGCCATTTTCAAAAAATAGAAATGAATTAAGTTCATTGCTTGATTTAGTTTGTAGCTGTTTTTTTTTTTTTTTGTTTGTTTGTTTATTTCACTTTTTTTGGTACTGGGGATTGAACTGAGGGGGACTGAACTTAAGCCCTCCCCTTCCACAACAATATAGAAGGGCTCCTGTTACTTTTCTACCAACAACATGGAATGCTGTACTAGAATATGTCATTATTTGATTTCTGGTAACCATTCTTTCTGGAGTAGGATGGAATCTCAGTGTTGTTTGCATTTGCACGTCTCTAAAGGACAGAGATGAACATTTATTTGGGTACTTATAAGTCATTTATACTCATTCACATGAGAAGTGATTATTCATTTCAGTTTTCCATTTTTTGATTGGGTATTTTTATTTTGAGGGGTCTAATTTTATCAGTCCTTGGATAGAAGACAAATATCTAGAATGTATAAAGAACTCAATAAATAAAGTTAGAAGATATCTTAAAGAACTGGTACAACCTCTTCATGTTAAAGACGCAGAAGCGAACAGCAGGTAGAAGATATTGAAGTAAATGGCTGACTGTATTCAACATTCACAATATTACATCTTCACCAGAAGTTTATTATTCAGATTATCTCCCAATTCAAACTGGGCTCCCCTATATTTAGTTTACATTCACAGGCCTTCTAATCCTCTTGATGAAAAGACAATGTTACAAATAAGGCAAACAGGGCCAGCAATAGCTCAGCAGATGAAACACCTACTTAGGCAGATGCAGGGACCGGGTCTTAATCCCCAGTGTGCCATGCTGGCCCCACCCCTGGGGCATTCTGAGATGACGATTGAGACTGGGCATGGTGGCACATGCCTGTAATCCCAGCACTTGGGTGGCTGAAAACAGGAGGATCACTGTGAGTCTGATCTACATAATGAGACCCTGTAGACTCTGCACTAAAATACATTAAAAAACAAACAAACAAACAAGGTAAGCAACCTACCACACCAGTGTTTGGAAGCAAAGTTTCTGTTCAGGTCTGTTCCAATGCAGTGGTTCTTCTCATGGAGGGAGAGGTTCTTTCTCCACATTCGATTCTATGTAAACAAAACAGGAAATGATAACCGTGGTGGCCATATTTGAGAAAGAAAGAAAGAGAGAGAGAGAAAGAGAGAGAGAGAGAGAGAGAGAGAGAGAGAGAGAGAGAGAGAGGAGAGAAGAGAGGGCTTGGGGTTTTCTCGTTCTCATGACTTCCATGGCTTAATTCTCACTGTCTTTGTAGAAACCTTTCACACAATTCCCATTTCTATCTATATCCTGATCTCATTAACTCAAACTATTTTAGTCTGAACCAAACAAAATGACAATATTTGCTGAACTGTTACCCATGTAAACTAAAAACTTTTATCTGGGCACCCTAGCCTCCTTATTAACTTTCTCGTTTAATCTTATTTCCTTTAAATTAATGTTAGGCACAGGCTCATTTTGAACTCCCTCAAAAATAAAAGCAAAATAAGTTGCTAGTGCAAGTCAAAACCTAATGCTCTCTTTTTGTACTGTGGTTATTTTTTAAACTTTCCTTTTTGAGATGCATGATTAAATACTCACTAGTAAACTGATGATACAGTGTCTTGGGTTTCCTTCAGAATAATGTGGGTATGCTAGAAGTGAGCGGAGGATTTAGGTGAAACAAGATCAGCCGTGTGTTGATTATCACTGAAGATGAGTGATGGCTCCACAGATATGACCATACAATTTGAGCTACTTTTATGTATGTTTGAAATATTCCAGAATAGAAATTAAATTTTTTTCACAATACACCGTTTTACCAAGATTCAGGATTCTGTTTATAATTCAGCTGATTATACTCCAAAAGGAGGCGGCATGCCTTGCTTTCTTTGCCTTCACTTACCTTTGTCCATGTGTAGTCATAGCCATCCACATTTATCACTGGCATGATATAAAAATCCACGTGTCTTAGAATATTGGTATATAGCTTCTCTTTCCCATAGAATTGGGTTACCTACAAATTAAACCAAGTGTTATTAGCAACATCTGATTTTAAGTCCACCTAAACTTCTTGGGTTTTGCATGTTTTTTTTTTTTAAGTTATTTGATGAGATTCATCTTTCAAATGTGTTAGTAACTGAATGTAGGTTACATTCTGCTGCCACCTGGCAGTAAATACTTTCCTTCTATGTGATCCAAATAGTCTTCCTATGTCATGAAGGCAGAAAATAGAACCACATGTTTCTGAATGGTTGATCAAATAATAAAATGATTTGTTTATTAAAGCTATAAAGCTTTTCTGGGTATGGTGATATATAGCTATAATCTTAGCATTCAGGAGGCTGAGGCAAGAAGATAGCCATGAGTTCAAGAGCAGCCTGGGCTACATAGTGAGGTCGAGGCCACCCTGAACTATATAGAAAGACCTGTCTCAAAACAAACAAAAAACCACAAGGGTCATATTAAAATTCTTTATCATGAATAATCACTTATAGAACATGACAGAAAAGAAAGAAAAAATACCAGTATACCAGTATTTTGTTTGTTCAATTTTGTAAAAAATCTACTACAGGTGAGAAATAAAAGCTTAATGAAAGAAAATTTTACAGAGAAAAATATCTTTTAAATAATTCAGCAACCATTTAAATACATTTTTATGCTACAGATTTGTAAACTTATGTTGGTGTCATTTTCTAGTAAGATTATAGCATTTATCCTTAGAACAATATAGGAAAGCAGTTACTTTCAAAATAATAAAACATGTCATTTTAATATTTATGTAGGCTTCACTTTCAATAGCACTTTTACTGCTTCTCTTTCTCTATTTTTCTACCTTTACCACTGACTGGAGAAGAGTCTTTCAGTAAAAAGTGAGATGAAAGAGCTGATTCGTTGGCCTGAAGTTTCCCTGTCTCCTATCAGGACTCCAGCTGGAAGGGGCTGAGTGAGAGCTGACAGAGCCCATACTCTGTGTGCCGAGTTCTACCTCTAGGTGTGGCTGCAGCTATAATCCCAGGGCGAGGGGTGGATAATTTTCTTTAACAGATTTATCGAGATATAATTGATATGCCAGAAAATTCAGTTTTAAAGTATAAAACCTGGGGGGGGGTTAGAATATTCGCAGAGTTGTACAACTATCACTGTTGTCTGATGTCAGAACGTTTTCATCCCCACCCCCACTGCCAAAGCCCTGGGTCTATTAGGAGTATTCCCCATCATGCTCCCTGTATCTAGGTATCTAGTTGTCTTAGGAAATGATAGCCCTTTTCGAGCCCACACAAAGGCATTACTGGGGCTAGTGGTAAGCCTGTCTAGGTGTACATTCAGAGGTGAGGGCCCAAAGCAGTCGAAACTGGTGATGATCTGAGGGGCAACAACAAAATAAAAACCATATTCTAAGGAGGATGTCATAATTTAAAGAAGGAATAGAGGGAAGTCAGTTGCCAAGAAGATATTCATGCTGTTAGAAGCAGTGGGCGCTGAAGGAGGCTGACCTGGGTTGGATATTTTCCTAATCAGCTATAGGTTATAAAATCAGAGTCTAATGATGATGTCCCAGCCTGTCTTCTTTGTCAGTAATGCAGAGATTAACTCCATGTAGGATTATGTAGATACATAACAATCCAAGAGATATTCTTTATTGCCACTTATTATTTAATAAAGTACTCCCAGATTTTAATTTTCCCAGTTATTTGTGCTAAAGAACATACAATTTACCTAATCATGCACTACAAAGTACTTCAAATTTTATAATTCTAGATTAGAACTCTCAACTGTGATTAAAGACATCGTTTTTTAAAATAACATTTCAGCTAACTCAAACTTATTTGCACATCTAATATTTTTTACTGTTAACTCTGATGTGTGTATTGTAGGCCAAGTATGTGTTATTTAGTGCTTTTTTGTGGCACTATTTGGATATATTTACGGTATGGTTCTACATCTGTCTAGTGAATGAATCATCCTTAAGATGATGGCTAAAGGAATTATGGAATGCCTGACACATAAAAGAGAACACACAAATACTTGTTGAAGGTATGATTTATCAGTAAGGCAAGTAAGCTAAGTTAAATCATGGTTCTATTAAAAAAGAAGGGAAGAAAGAAGAAGATGGGATGTGGAGGATCCTAGGAGCCAGTGTGTGACTAGAGGAGGGAGTTAAGGGTAGCATGATTGCTTCGGCACATGATCACTCGATCACTCGGGTCTTGGCCTCCCCTTGCTGGGAGTGTGCTAAAGCTTCACCTTCATCATAGTTCTAAGTAACAGCATTTATCCAGACAGTAACCCACTGCCATTTGGCTGAGCTCAATTAGGTACATAGGTATAGAAGACATTGCATGGAAGGTTTTTAAATAAACTTATGCTCATTACCATTAGAAATATAGTAAAGAGCCGTCTTTACTGTATCAGAGTCTATTGATCTCTATTATATATACACATAGTTCAGACATCCAAATGCAATGTGGTAATTAGCCCAATAGTGGATAATATTTAGGTACCTTATGGACCTCAAGTTTGTATTTCAGTCAAACTCAATATGTAGCTCTGTGAAATTTCCCCAGGGCACAAGTTCAGAGGGAAGAGCAATGAGAAAGTTTGTGGTGAAAGTACCAGGCCAGGAGTGATGACCAGCCCATACTCACTGGACCCTTAGAACATACTAGACCCAGAACTGGGTTTTGGGTGTGGCAAAGCTGGCTGCACAAATCAGCCTCAGCTTTTGCCTTTGCAGAATTAGAAGGCATACAGCTTTGGCCTCTTGAGAACCAAGGTGAGGTGCAGAGAAAAATGGCGGGCTACAAGCTTACTAAGGTGATTGCTATCTTCTTTGAAATTGGGCTATAAGATTTTCTGTAATCTCCTTTCTACTAAGTCATAGAAAGGAAAGAAATGTAAAAATTAAAATTTCAGTTCACATTTGAGCATATTGACTTTTTAAAGTAAAATTTACCCATACAAAAATTTTTAAAAGTTAAATATTTTATTTTTCTTTTCTCTAACAGTGGTTTGAACCATCATGAAAGTCAAGTGATCTGGATTACTTTTAGGCACAGTTGGATGCAACTTCTTAAATGTCTATTCAATAGAACATATAGATCACATTAACTCAAACTGGTTTATATTGCTGGGGCAAAATACTTGTATGTTCAATCCTTGAGCTATATCCTGTTCTCCACTGAATTTCTAGGGGATAGAATTTCCAAGGCATTTTATAAATAATTTAGATTTATAAGTAATTTTTCATAAATTTTGTAAATAATTTGTGAAATAAATCTTTTAACATTAGAAAGATTATGCAAGTAGGTAAATGATGGGATTATAACAGAAGGGAAAATGTCACGCTAAGAGGGACAGCAATTAGGAGCAACTTCACCAACATGAATTAGACTCAAGATGGATTGGAATTTCTTTCCACCCCTTCTCAAATTCAGTGAAGGAAAGAAAAAACAATGCTCTTGCTTGCTTACACTTTTCTCTCTCCAGTATCTGCTGTTCCCTCCATTAAAACTACCCAATTTGAGTAAGGTTCAAGATTAGAAAATGAGTTCTGCTAAAAGGTTGATAAATTGAAACCAATCTCATTTGGTCCAGATAGTATCAATGGTGGCTGGAAATTTCTCAGTAGTGGCAGAGATGCTGCTCTGGGGGAAAACGAAATGGCAAGGCAAGTGACAGTGGATACATCATTTGTTACAGATCTAAGTGAAGCCTTTCAATTTCCTAACTCATTTACCTTATTATTGTGTATTTGTGAATACAAAATTATAATCACTATTATCAGAAAGATACATGATTTATCTTTCCAGTGGCATGACACTTGTATAAGTCACGTGTCATGGCTTTATGTAGATAGATAATATCTACCCAAGAGTTTCATGTGCTCATAGGTGAGGCCTTTGGAAGGTTATTGGGTTATGGGGGCTTATCGATGACTTGGTGTTGGGAGCATGAGCCAGGTTGGAAGAGGCAGGTGTTTGGGGCATGGCCTAAAGGGTTTGTCTTCTTTCCTGCCTCCTCCCTTGACAGTTCTGCTTCTGGGTCGCTCTACACAAGGCAGCCCTCCTCTGCCATGCACCTCTGTCATTCCTTCCCTGTCTTCGAGCCAGCCAACTATGGACTAAAACAGGGGCCAAAATCAACCTCTTTTCTTTAAGAGAGGGGTATTGTGTCTAGGTGATGAGAAAGTTACTAAGACACAGGAGTAGAGGATATGTTATCCCATTTCATAGGAACCAAAGTATAATTTTTACTGTTCTCATTTGTTATGGAAGATTATAAGTGTTCCATTTTTTACTTTTATGACCTGCTACTTACTAGTCTTATATATTACTTTTTTAATGCCAATCTCTTCTTCAGAGACAAAATTCTCTATTAGGACACAGGAAAAAACATTATCTTTTTTGTAAGGGTATGCTTCATATTCAGTTCCCAAGGCAGAATGTGTCAAAAGATGTTTAGACAACTCAAATAGATGAAGAAACATAAAGAAGGACCCAACTTAGATAACTCCTTCAGAAATTTCTTCTATGTAGTAAAAATATTACGATCATCACACTATTTGTAAGTTACTCTTCAATATTTAGCCCCAGATAGAAATGTAGAAAGGAAAAGATCATTTCTCTAACAGGCAATTTAAGTACTGAAATCAGACTCTTCAAACTTGATGTGCATAAAAGTCACTCAGAATACTTGTGATTGTTGTGGCTTCTCCAGGCTCAGTTCCAGATTTTGAGTCCAGAGCAGCAAGATTTGAAGTGGGAAGTGCATCTCAGTCACACCCAGTGGATGCTGACCCAGGTGAACGTGGCTGCCCAAGCTGAGAAGCACTGGCCTAATATGAGCACTTACGTAGCCTATGAACCACAAGCAGAAAGCTGGAGAGATCCATTCTCTGGCATGAATTCCACAGTCAATCCAAATGGCATTCCTTGCTCTCTGTTCTTTTCCAGAAACCTCAAAGAAAACCAAAAAGCAACAGAAGCAGTAAATCTTAGTATAACAATTTTTATTTACACGGCACTTATACTTGATGTTTTCAACAAATCTATAGAAAGTATATTGCTGTAAGTATTCCTTTGAGAAATTTCAAGTTAAAAGCTGGTGAGAACAAATGACATAGCTAACATTACACTATAGTGTGAGTTGGGACTGATGTTTGCAGTCTGGAATCTTGATTTATAACTCTATCCTCCCACAATTAATTGGCTGCTGAGAGCTGCATTTGGAAAGGTAGGAGCAGAGACTAGAGGGTTAGTGTTTTGGGCCATATGGTTACATTACAATGAGAGGTAGATGGGTGTGTATTGGCCAAGCAGCCTTCCACAGGAGCTATGGAGACATAGGAGGAACAGAAAGGCCCCTATCATTTTGCCTAGAGTGATACTTCTTATGCATAGACTATTTCTCCACCTCACATACAAAGGACTGCACATGTAGCTTCACACAAACTGATACCAAAAGGAGCTGGAGACCTTGTTACCATTCACAGTGTGTGGTTACTATAAGGAGCTAAATCTCTGCAACAAGAATTCCCACCCTTTTCTCAATGATAGCCTTTGAAGTGTTTGGATGAGTTCTCAAGAACAATTTCAAAATTATTCAAAATTTTTTAATTTTAAAAATTAGTTAAAGTAGGGCCAGCCAAATAGCTCAGTGGATTACAGCACCTGCAAGCAGGCACAGGGGCTGGGAGTTCAATCCCCAGGCCTGCAGTGCCGGCCCTGCCCCTGTGACATGCTGAAACAGCGATTGAGACTGGGCGTGGTGGCACAAGCCTGTAATCCTAGCTCTTGGGAGGCTGTAAACAGGAGGATCATTACGAGTCCAATCTAATAGTGTGACCCTGAACACCCTGTAGACGCTTCCCTAAAAATACAAAAAAAATAAAAAATAATAATAAAAATTAGTTAAAGCACAAGTTAGACTGTGCAGGAAAGGGAGGAGATTGTTATAAAATCCAACAAAATGTACAGAGGTAATTTTAAACTAAAAATTTTAAACTTAAAACATTTAAGATATTAAATGTTGCCATACACCACTGTGATATCCAAATATATACCACTCTGATAACCACAAGCAAAGTAAAAAAGAAAGTCAAATGGCCATTAATGGCCAAAGCGTACAGGTGCAGAGAACTGTCTTATTGACAATGTATTTAATGTCAACAAAGTTTCAACTTGTCTGGATTAATTGCTATACTTGACATTTCTAGCTGCAGAGCAAACCTCTGGCATTCTTTCTGACACTGGAAATATGGAGGAACACAGAGATTCACATACATGCACCTTCCGCAGTGAGTGAGAGTAGGACGAAAGTGTCCGTGGTGTATACTTTTCCAAGGCATATGTTAGGGTTCCAGGCACAAAAGTTCCAAAAACTACACACAACATGGGTGGCGCACACATGGGTGGATACACCATTACCTGGACCTAATTCAACTGACCAACTCAAACACTAATAGGACCCAACATTTCACACATTTGGTTTGAGTTTGTGCTGTAAGTTCATGTCAGGGACTAATTAAAACAGAAAACTCTTCACTCAAAATTATCTTTGGATGACTGAAGAGACTCACCTATCATAACGTAAGAAAATTCTATATCACTAAATCTAATGTGTTTTTCAGCAATCACATTTTTCAGAGATTCTTTTTAATTATATAAGAGACAGTGGTAGAAAAAAAAAAAAAAAACAGAACCACAGAATCAAAAAGTATAAGCAGGTAGGAATCAGTATGGTTCTTATAACTAAAACTCTATCTTCAGTGGCTTATATTCACAAACCTTTACTAAAGCAAATTTATCTGAGAGAAAACATTGTATTCAAGGTACTTTAAGTTGATCGTATTCTTTCCCATAAGATATTGCAATAGAAAATAGATAATCAAATGGACAGTAATTAGAGCAGAAGATATTGTGCAAACCCTACTGCAAAGAACTCCAGTATTGCCCACTTCCTATCCTTCCCTAGGTTTGATTGTTTGGCTTTTACTTTGGCTTCTAACAAATGCCCACTGCTGTCTCTCTCACAGTAAGTCAGTCTATCTGAAGTATAAATGATGCAAATAAAACAGGGAGTTGAAAAATAATCTAGATCCTTTTCTGGCTTTTTCCTGTTTTTGGCTGCGTGGAGGCAGCTCATGCATCTGGGACACCCCAAAGTTAGGACTTTTCTTTGCACACCTGAGGCTGCCCATGGTGGCTCTGCAGTTGTCATCATACCATAGAATAAATATACTGAATTACATCGTAAAAACTATGGGTACTGCTTGGATTACCATGAGAAAAAGATAAAGAAGGAAAGTCAAAAGGCTCATGAACATTCAAAGAAGGCAAAAAAAAAAAAAAATGATTGGCCTGAAGGCTGAGCTCTACCACAAACAGCACCAAGCAGAGAAAATACAAATTAAGAAGATTATCAAGATGCATGGAAAGAGAAACACCAAACAAAAGAATGATGAAGAGACTCCACAAGGACCTGTACCTGCCTACCTGCTGGACAGAGAGGAATAGTCTTGTGCAAAAGTACTTTCCAACATGATTAAACAGAAATGAAAAGAAAAGCGAGAAAATGGGAAGTTCCTCTGCCCAAAGTTTGTGCCCAAGGAGAAACGGAAGTATTAAAAGTTATTCGAACTGGAAAGAGAAAAAAGAAGGCATGGAAGAGGATGGTCACTAAAGTCTGCTTTGTTGGAGATGGCTTTACAAGAAAACCACCTACATATGAAAGATTTATTAGGCCAATGGGCTTATGTTTTAAGAAGGTCCATGTACCACATCCTGAACTGAAAGCCACCTTTTGCATGCCACTACTTGGTGTGAAAAAAATCCTTCATCGCCACTGTATACAACTTTGGGTGTGATTACCAAAGGAACAGTGATTGAGGTGCACGTGAGTGAGTTGGGCCTTGTGACACAAGGAGGCAAGGTTATCTGGGGTAAATATGCCCAGGTAACCAACAACCCTGAAAATGATGGATGCATCAGTGCAGTATTACTAGTTTGACAGATGTTTCATACAGTAACTTCTTACACTTACTGAAGACTACAGACCAATCAGAAAAAACGTAATTTGAATATTGCTGAACAACTCTCATGACTGCATTCATCAAGAAAACTATTTATTAAATTGTAAAAACATTAAAATGGCCCAGTTTTAAATAATACATCCTCTTATGAATATGAGTATTGAAGCCCAGTGTCAATTGAATGGCCCATCTACTGTCACGTAAACATAGGCAGAGTGAAATCCTGAACTGGAGCTGCCACTCTCACATCATCACTTCATTATTAAAAGAGTATTTAAAGATAATAACTGACCCCTAAATAGCTGGATGTTGAAGTTGGGCACACCTAGAATACAAATATTCCCAAAGCTCAAAGAAAAAAAAATCCCAGTTATAACAAACAGTACCAGACAATTAAGCCCTCCTCTCAAGCTGAAAGGACAATGATTCTTCTCACAACATACCTTCAAAACATAAAGTGGACGCTTCTCATAAGAGGATCCAATGTGAATTTTTCTAAGCATATCAGGATGCTTCTCAGTTATTACTTCTATCCAAGAGTAGATCTATGAAAACAGAAACCAGTGGTTAGTCATAGGAAAAGTTCAAAATATTTTTCTAATTACCTGAAGCAGATGGCTTCTTTGAAAAATGAGATTCACCCTGAAATCTTTGTAGATGCAAGAAATAGAGAACTAAAACATTAGGGTAGGATTTTTCTGTTTATGAAAATTAATAAAATTAATTTTTTGACAACTGTCCACATTTAGAGAAAGTTAAATACTACTAAGAAATACACAACCAAGTTGAAAAATTAAGCTTTAGAGTATGGATCCTGAATGTTATTTTTAAAGCTCATCACATCTAGTTCCTGCCTCTGTGCATCAGATCTTTGTACTACTCATTTAAGAGTTCATGTTTACATGAGACTTAAAGAAAGGTAAATTCATTGTTCAAGACTAAGAGAGCTGGGGCACTGCCTTTACCCAGAACAAGCAGCCGTGTCATTGTTTCCCACTGACCACTTGTACAAGTATAGTGAGACTGGCAGAGGAACAAGAGGCAAAGGTGAGGACAGCCTGGAGGGAAGACCATGCTACCATGTGAAGTTTGATTTGGATCCCTCTCCTTCAGTGGCATTTGAAGTTCTGTCAAGATGACAGTAGGAAAACCAAAAATTCCAGGACTGATTTTAAGCTAGCTTCTATATTAAGCAGACACTAAATTCTCATGTGGTTGGGGATCTCTGGGATTGGGTTTGGTCATATTTTAATACAGAACAACTGCGCCTTCTGAAATGGGAATCATCAACTCTTGACTTTATCTCTGGGATCTTTCCTAGAGCTGTTTTCAAATGGCAATCTTAGCATTGTCGATTACTTAAGATTTCCTAGTGTAAGTCAGTGACACACATACCAAATAAAAGGCCAAAAGAAGAAAATCCTGCTTCCTACTAGGCCACTGCATGGAAAGGGCTGATATAGAATTACTACTGAAGAGGAAGAAAATACTTAGGTGTTCCATGAGAGAAAGGCAGCTCTTATCAACTGCCTGGAAAGGATTAGGATTAGAGAGTCAGGAAGAGAAATTCAAAATATTTTCTGGAGTATGTATGGACGGATCAATGTGCATACACTAAATTCATATGGTAAAGCCCTACCACCCATTCCCTTAAAATGTGACTGCTTTTGAAATTGTATGGTTAAATTACAAGGCCCCACACTGGGTACTAACGTAAGATGACTGGTGTCCTTTTAAGAAGAGGAAATTAGGACACAAAGAGCCCCAGGATGTGGATTATAAATATTGGACACCAACAATTTAATCAAGGAGGGGTTTATTTTTTGTTTGTTTTTTCTTATAAATGTTAGTTTGATTAATAAGTGTTGTTCTGGGAAATTGCAGTTTGTCTACAATAATGACTTATCTAACTCTAAACACACTTCAAGTGACAATTATAAGTTATGGTGGTCAAATAGCTCAGTGGATTAAAGCACCTATTTAGACAGCCGCAGGAGCCAGAGTTCGATCTTTGACTGCCGTGCTGGCCCTGCCCCTGGGGTGTGCTGAGGTGCCGATTGAGACTGGGCATGGTGGCATGCACCTGTAATCTCAGCTCTTTGGGAGCCTAAACACAGGCAGATCACTATGAGTCCGATGTGTGTAGAAAGACCCTGTAGACCCTTACTAAAATATACAAAAAAAAAAAAAAAAGCTAGTTATGGTGGTGAGAGAAATCTACATTGACTTATTGCAGCCCACACAAAAACAAGAGCAGTAGGGCAAATAGAGGGGGTGGGCTTTATGAGAAAATAAGTGATTTAGGAAACTCAAAAAAGGAGTGTTCTGCACTGGTAGCAAGGACTCTAGGGTACAAAATTACTAGTGTTTTTAACTCCAGCCCCTGTCCCTAGCTGCATAAGCAAAGCAGAAGAAGAAGACAGATAAAGCAAACAAGTAACTTAGTAAAATTACACTTAGAACCCTAAAAATTTGAGTAAAATCAAAGTTTGTTTTGCTTTTAAAAATTTCAGTGTTTCAAAAGGCCTGCTTTAGTGACATGTTAGCCCCATAGGAAAATAACCCCCTGTCAGTGACATGCTCAAGTTGAGTGGCCAGCTCACACTTCAAAAGCAGGTGTGCACAGGTATATGTGTGTCATTAAACCCAGCCATGAGGCTCACATACCTGCCGGTACTGTGCAATGTTAAATGTCCAATGTCCTCACTACAGGAAAGTGACCAGGACAGAACCCCCTTATGAGGTCATGAAGGACCAAGAGACACATTTCTCACCTCTGCCCAATTGATCTTTATTTCTAAACCAATTTTGGTACCCAGTGACCAGGATAGTTTTCTCCTTCATGCATATCCCATACCTATGTATATATATTTTTTATTTTCACATTTACATAAAAGGGGGGGCCTACCCCTTAGCTCAGTTCTTTAAGTGGCTGCTTCAACAAAGCAGTCAGTCTCAGGTTGCTGTGGTTCGATCCCCACAACTCAAGCCAGCCAAACCTGCCCTGAAGGCATTTGGAGAAAAAAAAAATCCTTATTCCACATTTACATAAAAATACTACTTTACTTTGTATTACAAATGGGAATCAAAGGAATAAAAGCTTTTTCTTCTTTTAAGGTAGAGGCATCCATCAGTTTTCACTCAGCTTTGTGTTCATGGGAGGGAATGGAACCCCAGTGAAAGAAGCACCATAGCAGAAGAGCAAAGGCCCTTTTCCTCCATGATCCCCAAACCCTTCTCTTTCTTATCTAATTCTGCTTGTTGTAGGAACTTGGTTATACCTTAAGTAGTATAGCTTTCCACCAAGAGGAGAGAGATTCTCACCTACTCAAAGTCAGAATAAAAAGAAGTCAGGTCTTTGCCCTTAAAAAAATTCTATCCCCCAATGTTCCTTCATGAACACATCTGCTCTACCTAGATAGCTACACCAAGATAAGTGCACTTGACAAATTGTTTAGTTTCCCTATCTGTGTTGCCACTAACTCATTAGAAAGCTTTTGTGATAGAGGAAATGGGGTGAAGAGACTAAGGACTTGATTCCTCTATCCTGGCCAAAGAAAGCATGAGGAATAAAAAGACCTTGACATTACAGCCTTCGGGTTATAACAGGGACAAGTGGTATAGCTGGGAGATGGGAAAGCATTAGAGTAGTGTGAAGCAGTAGGAGGAGCTCGATGCTAAAAGTCTAGTCCACTAAATGTTGGTACTAGAAGGGCTTGTTGCCAGTCTCATTGAAAAGACATGTGCAGATGAGGGCTTCTATTATATCAAAGGGGTCACAAATGGTGGAAGGAAACTTCTTCTCCTGGATGACAATCCAGGGAATGTGGATGCTGATGTTCCGGGTAGCTATGCCATCAGAAAAAGTCATCAGTGTTGAAGGTTTCATGGAATCCCATCAGGTGCCAGGTATTGTCCAGGCCCTGCTTGGGATCATAGGTGAAGATGTGGTTAGGTTCTACATGGTCTCCTCCATGTACTTCAGATGATCCTTCTCCCATGCAAGTTCTGTGCTGAAGTTGTTGTAGCAGCTGCCACCACCCAACTTTTCACTCTGAGTTCCTTACACACTATGCAGGATGAAATGGGCTGTTCAGAGATCTCCCATGGAGATTCTTTCATGGGAGTCCTATATGGAATTCCCACTGGGCAGGCATCATTTCATCATTCATCCCTAGAATATTGACTCTGGTGTACAAGCAAGCCCAATAATGACACTCCACAATATTCCCACCATCAGCTTTGCCTGCCCCCACACCATGGTAATATGGACTTCAGAGCTGAGGGAACCGTTGGAAGCCCAGCCAAGGGTGCCCATCTGTCCTCTAGAGAGTGTATTCCTGCTCCATTCCCAACCAGTGGTGCTGGTTGCATATTGTAGCAGCTAGTGCTTAGTAAGGAAACATTTAATGCAAGGCATACAAATATATAAGAATTTACAAGATTGACTTACAGTGGCCACCCACAGAGTCATATGTGGAAAAGTGCAGAGAAGCTGTCTATGTGCTGCAGATCTAAAGGACTCAGTAGAAGGCCTAAAACTCATTATTTGTCCCATGTGAGTTTATCCTTATTTGTACTTGAGTCCCATGTGAGTTTGTATCAGAAATGAAGAGTCTGCCCTGGAAGGCTGGAGAGTCTGTGATGGAAGCCAGCAGATGATATCCAAGATGAAGGTGAAGACTGGAGCTTTTCTGAAGAAAGAGAAGTGAGCCTTCCTTCTTCACTTCCCTTTTATTCCATGCATGCCACAAGCCTGTTGCTTGGAGCCACTTACACCCAGAGTAGGTCTTCTGTCTTCAGAAAATCCCTTTAGTTAACTATCACACATCTCTTGTCCATTATCCATTTAGGTGTGCCCTAAATTGGTCTCCTTAGGCTTCCAATTATACTACTTGGACATTTCACAGAACATTTATTTATTGTTACCTCTGCAGAAGGGGTCCTGAAATATCCATAGGGATAAGGTACATGTCACTAATGGACCTTCAGTGTGGAAAGTGCAAGAGCCATCAAAATTCTACCCAGACAACTAACTTCTGCACACTTGTGCCCAGTCTCGTGGCACAGCCCTTCTGGGTACTGTCAGTCCAGGTACATGTTCTTTGGACTTTGTTACCTTGATGCAAGAACACATTCACCTGCTTCATGCCTTTGTTCAAATGTTACACTTATGAAAGCAGCAACCAGAGTGTAGGATATTAGCTGTGAAGTCCCTTCTGGGCAGAGCAGAGCCACGAGGCCCCTGCAGCTGGCTGAGAATATGAAAGAGAGAACAGATTCCTTTGAAAGCCAGGTCAAGATTGAAGCAAGAGGATCACCACTTTGAACCCAGCTGAGCAACTTAGTGACAAGCAGGAACTTGCTGAGTTGCCCATGGTGGGAAAGGCTCTGAGCAGTGAGCAGGTGCATGAGCTGTGAGAGTGAGGGGAGGACAACATGGAGAAGGTGCATTGTCCAGTCTCCCCCACTCTTGGTTCTGCTGAGAGGTTTATTTTGACTCTTGGTTTTTAAAGGATTTGTCCATGGTTGGGTGGCTGCATGGCAGAAGGGCACAGGAGGGAAAGGTACTCACCCCATGGTAGCCAGAGAGTGAAAAAGAGAGGGAAGGACCAAGGACAAGCACACACCCTTCCCAGAGAGCCCCCAGTGACGCACCTCCAGCAGGCCTATCTCTTGCACTGCAGTTAGCTGCTGACTCATCAGTGGATGAATCTGTGGATGAGTGCAGCATCTCAATGGCTCAGTCACCTTCCAAACGCATAAGGCTTGGCGGAGGGCTACCTCTGAACTATAATATGATTACACAGAGGAAGAGCCAGATGAGAATACAAGAAGCAGCCATCTGCAAGTCAGTGAGAGCAGCCTCAGCAGCAAGCAAACCTGCTGACATCTCGGCTTCACACTTTGGCTTCTAGAACTGGGAGCAAATAAATTTCCCATGTTTAACCTGCACAGACTTTAGTTTTATTTAGTTTAGTTTTGTTATGGACTCTAGAAAACCAACACAGTAGTAAATTTGTTTTTTTCTGTCATTGCCAATAAGTAAGAAAATACCTTTTTAAAAAGTTTTATTTATTTATTTACTTGGTACAGGGTCTTGCTACACAGCTTGGACTCATAGTGATCCTCCTGTCTCAGCCTCCCTGCTCTGGGATTATAGGTGTAAGCCACTACTCCCAGTTTCAGTGGCCAGCATAGCACGTGGTACCTGGGATCAAAACTGGGTCCTTATACTTACCAGGCAGGCACTTAGTTTGCTGAGCTATCTCCCTGGCCCTAAAACAGCTTTTTTGAATAGAAGAATTGACATATATTTTTAAAATTTTAAAAAATACTTCTGTCTAAATCATACTTTCCCCATCAAACTGAATACATCAGTGACATATTCATCTTCTGTAGTTTGCAAAGGATGCCTCCCTAGCCCCTCTCTATTTTTATTTTATATTACTGGTGACAGATATTGGAGGGTCATGTTTTGTGGGAAACAGATGTAAGATATGAGAGAAGAAAGAGTGGATGCAATTTTAATACCTCTATCAGTCAACCAGCTATGTGGTTTTTTTGAAGTAGATTGAATTCTGGTTTAACCAACTGGGAAGGAGCAGATGCTCTTAAAGATTAAATATAAAATTGATTCTTATTACCTCTTTCTTAGATAATAAGACACATGATGTGATCTTTAGTAGTTCCTGGCCACCTAGTCAAAAAAAGAAGCTAAACATAGCCATGTTAGATTGTCTACCAGCATATACTGCTAAGAAAGACCAAAAGTCTTCAAGGTGTTTTTATCTTTTTGGAGAATATTGTACAAAAGAGAAATCCTCTGAGAGATTTAGCCTTTAGCTAAAAACTGTGTTGGAAATGGCCATGAGTCTGTGTTAAAGCTTATGTGGGCAACTGAACATCAGAAATATGTTTAAATTCCCTCTAGAGAAAATGAAACCTATAAGTACTGAAAAGAAAATAATTCATAAAGTATGGTCATGATGATATGATGATTACTGTACTAGTTTAAGTAAGTTCCTCTTAAAAGGAATAAAATACACTTATTTGCAGCATATTATTTGAATTTAGTGATGTAATATTGTGGTATTTACTAAGAGTAAATTTTGGATAATGGTCCAAAGAGACATGAATAGTTGGACTGGTAATTTTTGTGGCAGTTTACATTTTAATTTCCTGTATTTCATTTTCTGTAGTTCCTTACAGTGCACCATTACCCCTAAAGGATGGTGGTGATACTTTTAGCTATGCACAAACATCCTGCTTACAGATAGTTTGATGCAATCTTTCCAGAGAAGATAACTACCAAAAAAGAATCCCTATCATAAAATCAGCCTAAACTGATCTTTTTTTTTTAATCATCCTCCACCAATTACAATTCTTTCACAATTTCTCATAGTTGAAATGACAATGCTAGTTGAATGAAAATAATAACTTTGAAGGACAGTGTGACGACTTACTTCATTTAGCGAGTGATATTTTTCGTAGTATGATGAGGAGGCCCGGGGGCTGACCGTGTCGTTAGAAGTCTGCTGCCGAATAAGATTTTCCACATCTCCCATCAAGACGCTGTGGGATGAAACAGAGGTGAGCCGCCTTCCATGGGGAGTGCTGGCCTTCTCACACAGCCCACTACAGACACGCTAGGTGCGCATGGGGAAATAGTGGCCAGCAGAGCTGGTGAGCCGCTGCGGATCAAGCTGAAAGCATCAGAGCCCTACCCTGTGACTAGCTGACATCAGCATTTCAGCAGCACCTTGGTGTGTGTTGAATGCAAGTAGCCCCTGCTGGCTGTGGCTTCGGGACCTCCACAGCCTCACTGCTTCCCACAAGATCTACTTTTCCTGCCTGTGATTCTTTAGCATCTTTTATATGAACATGTAGATTCATGGACACTTTCTTTAGTTGAGAGTAACATCTTATGTTTTCAGCTAATGTCAAAAAGAAGCAGAAAGCTTTTTCTTCTTGTTTTCCTCTCAACTACATCAGATATTCTACCAGAGTCAAAAATGATCAAATCTCTTGAGAAGTGCAAGTACAGGACAAGAGATGACATCAGAATGCCATCTTACTTATTCAATTAACTAGGCAAATTCATTAGCTGAATTAATGCATCAACAATAGGATGAACAATTTGCAATTAGCTATTATATTAACAAAGGTTTCTTTTATTTACACCAGTGGATAAAGCCAAGGCTTTAGGGTGGTAGAGGGATTGCCTAGCAAGCACAGGGCCTTGGTTAGATCCCCAGAACCACCTGCCTTTAAAAGTCAAGACTTTGATATCAGAAAGATTTCAGTTTGGCTTCTAGTTGTGCCATATCTCTGTTGGTTAACATGAAGAAATTTCTTTATAAGATTTTTAAAACTTTATTTAGGCTTAACAGCCTAGGTTGTATGGTAATAACAATAAGCTTCTCTTCTGGAGGGTTAACAACCTTAGTTTGCAGACCAAAATTAGAGAAAAAGGAGGGCCGCAAGGAAAGCCAACATTTTGGCCCTAGCCTTCCAGGTCAATTAAGACTCAGGACATATGAGAACTTGTACTGTAAC